TGTTATAATATGAGTGAGTCAGAGGCAGCCCTCTATAGACTGTTGATGTGGTCTCCTGCTGGGCTGGTATAAAAAGGTAGCAGCCCTGAGACAGACTGACAGACTGATTGAGGACATAATTGTGAATGTAGGAGAATTTCACGGTTAAGATCCGTGAAACCAAGAGCAAGATAGACGGCCAGGCCACAAATTAGGAGGCATGGCCAGATGGAGGCGCAGAGGCTAAGGCCTTGACAGAGATGGAGACGGGTAGACACACACACACTCATATGCGTGCACACACACACACACAGGGAGAGAGGCCTGTAAACAAACCTCAATCAGCCGTGCCAATCAGAGCCTGAGTGGAGCATATCAACTGTGGCTGCAGAGCATCAGGGCAGAGGCCCAGTCAGTCAGGCTGCTGCTAGGGCATACTGTACACTGAACCAGCCACTCACACATCACTATATCACATCACTATAGGGCAATTCCACGGGTAACAGAATGCTGCGGAAACTCAGATTTTTCACATTAAAATGTATGTCAAACAAAAACCAATGATTACAAAGTTAAACAAACCATACAACTCTATGCACTACTTAACGATTTCCGCAGAACATTTTACAAAAACATTTACTTGAAAAACAGTGCAGATGCAAAGTTTGGTAACAGAATAACGGTTTGTGATGTTTTTGTCAGCATTCTGTTACTGTGAATTTGCCCTATGTGAAACAGATGGATAGATAGATAGACCGCTGCGAAAAACACAACAAAACTGCACCTTACAAAATAACGCTGTGAAGAACCACAATATGGACCATGGATGGAGAACTGGCGTAGGTCGAAAGACAGAAATGTTGTCAAAATGCACACTCAAGTTTCAAGTTTTTAATGTCACATGCACAAGTACAGTGAAATGCCTTTCTCGCAAACTCTAAACACAAAAATGCAGTAATCAATAACAATGTAATACTAAAAAATTGAACAAAAACAGACAAAAATAAAAATACGAAATGAGAAGAGCAGGATAATGTAAGTAAGCATACTATATACAGAGTCAGTCAGTTCCAGTACCATATTTACAATGTGCAGGGATACTGGAGTGATAGAGGTAGATATGTATAGGAAGTACGTTGACTAGGCATCAGGATATATGATAAACAGAGTAGCAGCAGTGTACATCTGTGGTCCTCTGTAGCTCAATTGGTAGAGCATGGCGCTTGTAACGCCAGGGTAATGGGTTCGATCCCCGGGACCACCCATAAGTAAAAATTTATGCACACATGACTGTAAGTCGCTTTGGATAAAAGCGTCTGCTAAATGGCATATTATTATTATTACATGGATGGGGGCGTGCTCGCCCCCCTGTAGTCCAAGATCAGCTCCTTGGTCTTACTGACGTTGAGGGAGAGGTTGTTGTTCCGGCACCACAATGCCAGGTCACGGACCTCCTCCCTATAGGCCACTTGTCAAACTCATTCCACGGAGGGCCGAGTGTCTGCGTCTTTTCGCTCCACCATTGTACTTGATTGATGAATTAAGGTCACTCATTAGTAAGGAACTCCTCTCACCTAGGTCTGTCTAGGTCTTAATTGAAAGGATAAAACAAACACCGGCAGACACTAGACCCTCTGTGGAATGAGTTTGACACCACTGCTGTATGCTGTCTCATCGTCACCGGTGATCAGGCCTATCACCGTCTTGTCGGCAAACTTGGTGTTAGAGTGGTGCATGTCCACGCAGTCGTGGGTAAACAGGGAGTACAGGAGGGGACTAAGCACACACCCCTGTGGGGCTCCCCGTGTTGAAGGTCAGCATGGCGGAGGTGATGTTGCCTACCCTCACCATCTGGGGACGGCCCCGTCAGGAAGTCCAGGATCCAGTTGGAGAGGGAAGTGTTCAGTCCCAGGGTCCTAAGCTTGGTGACGAGCTTGGAGGGGACAATGGTGTTGAACGCTGAGCTGTACTCAATGAACAGCATGCTCACATAGGTATTCCTCTTATCTAGGTCTTATCTAGGTGGGTGAGGGCAGTGTGGAGTGCAACTGAGATTGTGTCGTCTATGGATCTGTTCGGGCAGTATGCAAATTGTAGTGGATCTAGGGTGTCTGGGATGATGTAGTTGATGTGTGCCATAACCAGCCTCGCAAGCGCAGTGTGGGGGAGTTTATTTTCATTTTAATGACGGATGGCCACCACCAGACAGACCTACTGTACATGTATGTACATGTCAGGGTTTCCGTTAGCCGGTAAAAAAAGAGAAAAGCCGATAAATAAAATTGCCACCGGCCTATTGTCCAGGAGAATAAAAAATCCCCTTGCGAAATAGTGCCAACTGTAACGTTTGGTGGAGGAGCAATAATGGTCTGGGGTTGTTTTTCATGGTTCGGGCTAGGCCCCTTAGTTACAGTGAAGGGCTTTTTTTTTAATCATTTAGCAGACACGCTTATCAAGAGTGACTTACAGTAGTGAGCACATACATTTTCATACTCTTTTCGTACTGGTCTCCCGTGGGAATTGAACCCACAACCCTGGCGTTGCAAGCGCCAGCGCCATGCTCTACCAACTGAGCCACACGGGACATTCTGTGCTTCCAACTTTGTGGCAACAGTTTGGGGAAGGCCCTTTCCTGTTTCAGCATGACAATGCCCCCGTACAAAGTGAGGTCCATACAGAAATGGTTTGTCGAGATTGGTGTGGAAGAACTTGACTGGCCTACACAGAGCCCTGACCTCAACCCCATTGAACACCATTGGGATGAATTGGAATGCCGACTGCGAGCCAGGCCTAATGGCCCAACATCAGTGCCCGGCCTCACTAATACTCGTGGCTGAATGGAAGCAAGTCCCCACAGCAATGTTCCAACATGTAGTGGAAAGCCTTCCCAGAAGAGTGGAGGCTGTTATAGCAGCAAAGTTCAACTCCATATTAATGGTCATGATTTTGAAATGAAATATTCAACCAGAAGGTGTTCACATACTTTTGGTCATGTAATGTATCTTATTTATCACACGCGTACAGCATACAGAGCAGAAAATCTGTCCGTCAGCGCAAGAGCTGCTGCTACATCATCTCAAACAGCAAATGCATAGGCAACGGAAGGCAGGCTTCATCAGGGCGTCACACACTACTTTGCAATGAGCTGGAGGCAGTATGCATTTTGAAAACACATACTTAATTGTTTGAAACCTGAACGTTTGTGTTCTAACATCTTCAAAGTGCGCTTCAGAATTCTGTAAGGACCGCACATCATTGCATCCTCGACTTGCACATTCTGTTAATATGAATGACCATAATATAAATGTGATTTTTGTCATTCTGAGCACCGTGGGTGGATGCCCTAATCAGGTTATGCACCCAATGTAAATTAAAATGCTGCCCGTTAAATGTCCGGCACCACATTTTCATAACGGAAACTCAGGTACACCAACAGACAGACCTACTGTGCTACCATATGTCCACCTAGAGAGCAAATGAAAGACCACCTGTGAGACGGCAGTGAGAAATCTTAAGAGAGCTGAGGTTAAAGTCCTGTCATGTTTTAATGCTGTTTTGATGAGAAATCCATGTGCTTTGCTGGCCCAGCCATACTGGAAGGAAATTACTATAAATTTCTTAACGACACTGGGTGTGTAAATGGCTGAGTGTGTGTGTGTGTGTGTGCGTGCGTGCGCGACGCAGGGAGTATAAATATCCCTCAGACGAGGAGCTCTCGGCCACCTGGGGAGCAATTACATGCCTTGCAGCATGGAGACACACTTCTGTCCACACGCTGTGAAAACCAACACAGCAACACTTACTATACCCTATCACCCCCATTTTCTACATAAAGTCTGACATTTCGTCCACCAATATTTCAACCACTCAGATAAGACAAGACACTCCTGCTGTTTCTGTACACCCATTTGTAGTTCATAGTACTCTGTTCAACTCCTTACAAATAGTTGCCCCTCTACCACTGCTTTCTCGAGTGCCCCGATAACAAACAGAACCTTTTGACAGTTTTAGGATGAGAGAAAGATATTGGACACTGGCTGAGGGTCTCCGAACACGCACACGCATATATCACTGCTTTGTTTGGCTGTAAACGCTGAGATGCACTGCTAGGTTTGCAATTACGAGCTGCGACTGGAGGCAGAGGAATCAAATGCGTTTCCATTACAGGGCTCAGTATTCCAGCCAGCCAGCCAGCCACAGTCTTAATGACACAGCATGGCAGCGTTATGGAGACATATCAAATTAGATGATTCCATTTGAGGGATCGATGTTACACAGAGAGAGCGGCTTCGGTGTGTGTGTGTGTTGTTGCATTGAGAGAGGCTTCAGTGTGTGTGTGTGTGTGTGTGTGTTGTTGCATTGAGAAAGGCTTGGGAGATCCATTCAGTTCTGTAATGAGCAGCAGCGGCCTGTTATATTACATTCTGTAATGTTATTTTGATTGCTCAATTTAATCTCTCCAGCGCAGAGCAGCACATGATCGAGACCGTGTGTGTGTGGAGAGCAGCAAAATATTAAGCCATTTTACCACTGCCATTCACATCTCCTCATAGGCCCTCCAGTCTCATTGTTGCACTACTGTGGACGGAAGTGTTGCTTTCTGATCAAATGGATTTGACCCACTAATCAATAATAAAGTTTGACATTAACTGTCCTTTAAGGGGAAAGTCTCTACAGCTCAAGACAGTTCCACACACAGGGACATACAGACAATAGCCATCCTTCTGGCAAGGGAGATCTATGCATTAGGGGCTCTATTGAAAAAGCTAAAGTAAAATAAAATAACTTAAATATAAGTATAGCCTACATAAGATGTCAGACTTAAATGGAATAGTCCTTCATTGTACCTGTGTCACAACATATATTCTTATTTTGGCTCTGCCCTCAACCTAGAGCACCTACAAACATGTTTTGTTAGCATAGCATCGTTTCCGTTACTGCTACACTAGCAGCATCAAAAGCTCAAGCCACTTTATCAGTTGTTTCCACTCGATAAGCACATGTCCAGGTGTGTCAGTGTCCTACCTCTCTACGTGGTCCAGGTTTCCTGACACGCCCAGCCCTCCGATGGTATAGAGTTTCCCATCGTAGACCAGACTGTTGTGTCTGCAGCGAGGCACCGTCATACGGGACATCAGGTTCCAGTTGTCCAATAGAGACATGTAGCACCACACGTCAGCTACCATTACACCCGACTCTGTCCCACCTGAAACACACACATAAAATACACTCGTCAGCTACCATTACACCTGACTCGAACACCTACTAAATAAAAAGCATATACAATGTAACCAATGTTAAAAATATGCAGATATAAAAAAAAAAATTACAGGTTCCCAATAAGTAATTTTGGAATCGTTATGACCTGGGGGCAAATGTAACAAGGCACCACCAAGACACCATGCCTGCATATTCACCCTTATTTCAACCCCTCACTGTTACAAGCATTACCTAGCTTGGTTTGAAAGCAGCAAACAGAGTGGACATTTCATCCATTCTCTGCAGGAACACACCCAGTCCTCAGCCCTGGTTAGTACTACTGCACACTGCTGATTTCCCCACTGAGTGCCTGCCTCCCCACAGACACACACAGGCCAGGTCCATTGGCCCAACACACATTTACATTTATAGGAAATGAGAGAGGGGGGAACATTCTATCTTAGCGTTCCTAGTGTTCTGTTTCACAGTCCAACGTCAAGGTCTAAATCTGTATAGGAGTTACACACAACTCTGTATAGGAGTTACACACAACTCTGTATAGGAGTATACACAACTCTGTATAGGAGTATACACAACTCTGTATAGGAGTATACACAACTCTGTATAGGAGTATACACAACTCTGTATAGGAGTATACACAACTCTGTATAGGAGTATACACAACTCTGTATAGGAGTATACACAACTCTGTATAGGAGTATACACAACTCTGTATAGGAGTATACACAACTCTGTATAGGAGTATACACAACTCTGTATAGGAGTATACACAACTCTGTATAGGAGTATACACAACTCTGTATAGGAGTATACACAACTCTGTATAGGAGTATCACAACTCTGTATAGGAGTTACACAACTCTGTATAGGAGTATACACAACTCTGTATAGGAGTATACACAACTCTGTATAGGAGTATACACAACTCTGTATAGGAGTATACACAACTCTGTATAGGAGTATACACAACTCTGTATAGGAGTTACACAACTCTGTATAGGAGTTACACAACTCTGTATAGGAGTTACACAACTCTGTATAGGAGTATACACAACTCTGTATAGGAGTATACACAAATGGAGTATGGAGGAGAGAACAGAGACCTCTGGAGGAATATAGTATGGAGGAGAGAACAGAGACCTCTGGAGGAATATAGAATGGAGGAGAGAACAGAGACCTCTGGAGGAATATAGAATGGAGGAGAGAACAGAGACCTCTGGAGGAATATAGAATGGAGGAGAGAACAGAGACCTCTGGAGGAATATAGGGGTACAATAATAGGAAGAATGTTAATGGTAAAACTTTACACTGGATGTATGGATATACAGATATAAATGTATATATATGTGAGAAAGTGTGTGTGTGTGTGGGGGGGGGGGTCCTCGTCGTTAGCCTACCTGACAGGTAGATGTTGTCCCCAGCTGAGATGACGCTGAAGAACTCTCTGTCGTAGAAGGGCAGGCTGGCCAACGGGAACCACTTACTGTTCTGAGGGTTAAAACATGTCACCGCCGTCAGAGACCGTTGGTTCATACTGATGGCCTGACGACCACCTATTAACACTATCACCTCCGCCACACCTAGAGGGATAGGGAGGGTGAAGGGGTCAAAGAGGGGAGAGAGGGAGAGAGAAGGGAGAGGGGGAGAGAGGGGAGGGAGGGAGAGAGAAGGGAGAGGGGGGGAAAGGGGTAGGAAGGAGGGAGAGATGAGGACAGGGTAGAGAAGGGGGAGGGATGGGAGGAGGAAAGAGACAAAAAACTCTTTAAACAAATGTTTGCAGAATCCATCATACGGTGAGGTTGTTGTTTTTGTGAGTGCGTTAGAGCAGTGTTTCTGTTATGAGGACCCGGGAGCCTAGTTAGTTGGTTTGGAGCAGCAACTGTTGACTGATTCGGAGGATCAGGTGCAATAATTGGTGGTATTTATTTACAATGAAATGTAAATAGTCATAGCATAGTTAGGATCCTGCAATAGCACAGGGACTAGCGACATCATAGTTCGGTTCAAGCAATGTTTGTAACAAATAATTAGTCCATTTGTGTGGGGAGAAATGGAGGGAAATGACCTAAGACACGTCATAGATCACAGGCAAATCAGTTACAGAAATGGGCTGTGGTTATTTTAGCCTCGGAAGTCGGAAGCCCAGGTTTCTCACGTACTAAACAGGATTTTGGAAGGCTGGCCAGGTGAGACTACGGTTGTTGACGATTCCTTTTGGGTGATGGACATGGCTCTAATTAGTCCACAGACGACACCAAACTTGGATTCAGATGTTTTTCAATTTAGCAGACTGCAGGCCTTGTTTATTGTTGTATTGTATTTCCAATTCAATAGCCTCTCAGGGATATGCAAAAACCAAAATGCAAACTGCCAAAGTTTCCTCTTGGTGCAGGAAAGTGTAGTGTGTAAAGTGGGAAGTATAACTCAATTATCTAGACTGATCTCTCTGCCATCTGTTAGGCAGCAGCAGAAGCACTCTCCTCTCCATTACCAATACAGATAACTCTGTCTCCATCCCTCACTTGCCATTCACACAGCTAGCACTCCTATCTCCAACCTTCTCTCTTTCTCTCCCTCGCTCTCTTTCAGTCTCTCCCTCCATTGCCACAGAGAACACTTTAATCCCACTATCTATCTCTTACCCCCCCTCCATTCCCATAGATAGCACATCACCTCTCTCTCTGTGCTAGTGAGACTCACAGCATGGCCTCAAACCCTTACTAAATCAATACGCTAAATCAATGTGTGGCTATTCAAGAACAGCAGCACTGCAAACACAACAGCATTTTAATTCTGGGTCTCATCTCATTCAGAGCAGCACATCCATTCACCCATGTGTGTGTTTTGATCAGAGATCTCTCATCGAGTATAAGTATTCTCTCCATGTTCAGTGCTCAACCATGGTGTTCAGTACATTACTGGTGCCTCATCTCCACACACACACACACACACTACTGTCGGCAGACGCTGTATAAAGATGCTAGTGATGTGTAGTGTTTGTGGTTGTGTGTGGCAGCATACGTTTGTATAAAAACACCAGTGATCCAAAACACAAACACACTGGCCGTCTGCCAGGCATCTTAGTTCTCAACAGCAGTTCGACAGAGGGAGGGAGAAGGAAAGATAGAGATATATTCCTCAATCATTCCATAGCTAGGATTCTAACCGCTGGCTCATCTTCCTCGATCAATAGTCCTCCTCCTCCTCCCTCGTTCCCCTGACAACCACCATCCACCGCTCCTTTCCTTCCTTCACCATCCTTCCATCCCTTTAAACACTGCGGTCATCATTTTACTAAAGCTGCTCTCCAGCTATCCTTATTCTCTCTTTTCCTGTCTTTCTCCAGGGCTGTTAAAATACAGCGAGAGCTTTTGATAAAAAGAGAGGAACGAGGAGTGAAAAGACAAAGCAGAACAGAAGGCTTTAGTGGGACGAGCAGAGAGAAGAGGTCAATGCTGCCTCACACAGCTTCCACTGGGATAGGATGGATGGAAACGTGTACTGCTTCTTCCAAAGATGAGGGCAGTTTAATTACAAAATGGGCCACAAACGTACGCTTTACCGAATATTAATTTGTGTTGCCATTGTAACTACAAAGATATGGGTGAATGAACACTGACTGATTATTAAAGCAGGGGAATAGTGACAATATAGCTATTTGATATGTAGGAAGATGAGATGAGAGCAATATAAAAATAGATTTACTGCTGAGTGCAGTGGTATTCAGAGTGGCAACAGCACAACAATCAGGTACTAACTACAGGCATAACTTTAGCTGACATACTTCTCATATACAGTACAGTATTGCTGAATGTGTGATTCTCAGTACTGAGGTAAATGCCAACCATGTATCTCAACACAGAACATGTACAAGAAACATACATGTGTTGGTTGAATGCATGTATTTAGATCCTTGTTCTCTCTACATCATGATGCATTATAACAACCTGAAGGTTCATACATACACCAGGGATGGTGGAGTAGCTGCCAAGATAAGCGACTCATCTTTTTGTTTTTCAATTGCAGAATGTTTTTGCAGAATGTTTTTCCTAGTGAACACAACATCTGGACGGGAGGCGGGATGCCTATTGACCCCTGACCTCTGTCACCTGCTCTCAGAGGTCAAACAGACACTTCTCAGCTTGTTAGGGAGGCTTACAAAAAATATATATGTTTTTTAATCTCTCTTTCTCGATCTCTCTTCCTACCTCTGTCTTTGTCCTTGGCTCTCTCTCGCTCCATATCTCACCCGCTGTCCTCTGATAGAGTAACTAGAAAGTGTTCATGTGTAGCAGATCCAAACATGGAGCCAAAACGTCCTCTGGGTGTTGTGAGACAGCCAGGAGGAAGAAGGTGAATCCAGCCAGTGGTGGATCACATCAGATCCCATCACGGGTAGAGCTGCTAGCGTGTGTGTGTGTGTGCACGCAGTACACTCTCCTTGACAAGAGACCCACACAGGGGCAGATGTCAGTCAGCTGCTGAAACAGTGGGGGAAAGGTAGGCTGTAGGGAGAGATAACGGAGATGCTGACAGCTTGTGTTCTCTCCTGTGCCGTGACCATGAGAGGAAAGGAGGAGAGGTGAGGGGCGTAAACTCTGGCAGGTTGGCTGCCCACCTGCTGAGAATAGCATCATTGGAACAAACACACCCACAGCCACGCTTTGCTCAAACCCCACTACTTCCTAATGACTCCTATCAGAACAAAAAGTCAAATAATAAATGACACTTTTTCACTTAGGTTGTGGCAGGAAGCTAAAAACATGGCTGCCAAAACACAGCATTTTTATTTAGATATTTAAGTTTATCATCATCGTTTAGGTTTTCACATTTATCTTACTGTTTTATCATTTTGGGGAAGAATGTATTTCTTATGTCTAAATATCTTTCGCAATTGGACAGAAAATGCAGCTCCATCTGTACCTCTCCTCTCTGCCTTCTCCGTTTCTCCTTGTTCTACTCCCTACTGTGACCCGTCCTCCTCTTTTCACCCCACAGCTAAACCCTGCTCTCAATTCAATTCAAGGGCTTTATTGGCATGTGAAACATATGTTAATATTGCCAAAGCAAGTGAAATAGATAAAACAAAAGTGAAATAAAAAATGAACAGTAAACATTACACTCAAACGTTCCAAAAGAATAAAGACATTTCAAGTGTCATATTATGTATATATAGTGTTCTAATGATGTGCAAATAGTTAAAGTACAAAAGGGAAAATAAATAAACATAAATATAGGATGTATTTACAATAGTGTATGTTCTTCACTGGTTGCCATTTTCTTGTGGCAACAGGTCACAAATCTTGGTGCTGTGATGGCACACTGGTATTTCACCCAATACATATGGGAGTTCATCAAAATTGGATTTGTTTTCAAATTCTTTGTGGGTCTGTGTAACCTGAGGGGAATATCTCTCTAATATGGTCATACATTTGGCAGGAAGTTAAGAAGTGCAGCTCAGCTTCCACCTCATTTTGTGGGCAGTGTGCACATAGCCTGTCTTCTCTTGAGAGCCAGGTCTGCCAACGGCGGCCTTTCTCAATAGCAAGGCTATGCTCACTGAGTCTGTACATAGTCAAAGATTTCCTTAATTTTGGGTCAGTCACAGTGGTCAGGTATTCTGCCACTGTGCACTCTCTGTTTAGGACCAAATAGCATTCTAGTTTGCTCTGTTTTTTTGTAAATTCTTTCCAATGTGTCAAGTAATTCTCTTTTTGTTTTCTCATGATTTGGTTGGGTCTATTTGTGTTGCTCTCTCTATCTATCCCCCTCACCTCTGCTTTCTGTTTTTTTTTTCCTCTTCCCCCTCATCTCAATCTCTTAATTTCTTTACTCAATCTTGTTCTCTCCCATCTCCCTCATGGACCCTCATTCTTCAGTCTATCACTAAGGCCAACTCCACCCTTTTTTCCTCTCTGCCCAATTGCTCTCGCCTCCTCCTCCTCACCTTATGCGCTCTCTCCCAGGGGGGTAATTTGGTATGGTGAGGATCGGGAGGCCAGGAGCCTCAGAGTGTGTGTGGCCCCTGCTGTGAGAGTATTCTGCCAAAGAATGAGGTAGTGTGTGGTTGAGTCAATGTGAATGTGTGCGCTCTAAGGGTATTCTCAGGGTGTGTTTGTGTGTATTAGTGTGTGTGTGGCCTGCTGTGCGGGGACTCTAGCCAGGCTCTGAGTGACAGTCACAATGGGACAGCGACTCGGCACTAGCAGGAACTGTGCCAGCACACACGCATGCACACACTGTCCACACACACAGTCCATGCCAAATGTGACCGTTTGACCTACCTAAGACTACCACAGCTTCAGCCTCATACAATATTCATCACACTCATCCAGGCTGCTAACGTGAAAATCATTGCATGTGCAGATTTGGTCTGTGTGTATGTGTGGTGTGCACACTGCATAATCTAGCTCTGGGTAGAAACTGAGCTAAGTCAGTCAGCCAGCCAGTATCCCCTCCTCTTCCATGCAACATCATGGCTTAACTTGATCCTCTGGTAAGTGGTCAGAAAGCTGTGTCGTCATGCCAACAGC